CTGCTGCTGCTGCTGCTGCTGCTGCTGCTGCTGCCTCCCTCTTTGCCTGCTCGTTTCTTGCTGCTCTCGCCCGCTGCTGCTTCTCCAAGACCTGCAGCAAATGGGTACTAAGGACATCCCGGGGGGCCCCCGCAGCAGCTCTTAGGGGGGCCCCCGGGGGCCCCACGGGAGGCTCCTGGGAGCAGCGGCGGTGCAGCGCAGCAAAGGCCTGCAGCAGCAGCAGCAGCAGCAGCAGCAGCAGCAGCAGCAGCAGCAGCAGCGAGGCAGCAAAAGTACTCATTTGCAGCACCTCCTGTCATTAATGTTTTCAACAAAGAAGACACAAAAGAAAAAGACAAAAAGAATAAAAGAAAACAAAAAAGAAAAAAAAGAAAAAAAACAAAAATAATAATTAAAAGGAATTAAAAAGAATTAAAAGAATTAAAAAAATAAAAAGAATTTAAAAGACTTAAAAAGAATTAAAAAGATTAAGAAAAAAGACGGACTTTCAGGGAAATTGGCGGCGCTGCTGCTGCTGCTGCTGCTGCTGCTGTTGCTGCTGCTGCTGTTTGCTGCAGCGCTCCAAACTCTAAACCCTCGAGCAGCACCAAAGGCGGCAGCAGCAAATTAGGGTTTACCCCTAAATTAGGGTTTAGGGTTTCCAACTTCGGGGGCTCCTGCTGCAGCTGCTGCTGCAGCCACTGCAGCTGCTCTTCAAGGCCCTTTGCTGCTCTCGGGGGGCCCCCCGGGGGGCCCCCCGGGGGCCCCCCTTGGGGGCCCCCCTGGGGGCCCCCAAGAGGCCCCCCCTGGGGGCCCCCCGGGGGGCCCCCGCAGCAGCTTTCGCTGCTGCTAGGGTCTTCTTTGTGGGGCCCCACAGTCTGGATTTGCTGCTGCAGCGGCAGGTGTACGTACACTCCGGGCCCGCGCTGCTGCTGCTGCTGCTGCTGCTGCAGCTGCAGAGACATTTGGCTGCTGGGGGCCCCGGGGGCCCCCCGGGGCCCCGGGGGCCCCTAAACCCTAAACCCTAAACCCTAAACCCTAGGCCCAGGGCGCAGCTCCCAGCTGCCAGCGAAAGCCCAGATACAGACATGAACAAAAAAGGCAGCGACGAGGGTTTAGAGGCCCAAAATTAGGACGAAGGGTTTAGGGTTTAGGGTTTAGGGTTTAGGGTTTAGGGTTTGGGAATGAGGCTACAGATCGGCCTCATTGAGTTGCGAATAAGCAGCGATAGGGCTGAAAGCCACTGAGGTGGTTTGCATGGAATCTCGAGTCCTAAACCCTAAACCCTAAACCCTAAACCCTAAACCCCCGGGAGGCGTGGAGGCCCTGTTGTTCGAAGACAAGCGACAGCAGGGCCTCAAAGGGACAAATCCTTCTTTAAATTAATACTTGAGAAGAAGCAAGAAAGAAGCAGCAGCAGCAGCTGCTGCTGCTGCTGCTGCTGCTGCTGCTGCTGCTTCGGGGCCCTTGGGGGCCCCTGGGGGCCCCAGGGGCCCCGGGGGTGTTGGGGTTGCTGCAAAATGTCTGGAGCCGCAGTGGGAGGTTAAAAAGGAGATAAAAAGGAGTTTTGAAGTCTTTAAAGAGTTTAAAACCAAATATAAAATAAAAGAAATGATTAAAGAAGTTTTAAAATAAAAAAAATCGAAAATGCGGGGCAAAATTGTTTGCTGCCTGGCTCGGGTGTACAGACACCTGAAAACGCCGCTGCGCAACGCTGTTCGTCTTTTTCTGATTTTCGCCGCTAAAAAGCGCAAAAAGGTTTTATAAAAGAATAAAAATGAATTAAAAATTGCTTTTGTTTATAAAAGAGAATTATTTCAAAGAAAAAGCCCGGCAGTTGTGCCTTTTAGCCAAAGAAAAGCTGAAAATGAGGCTGGGCGGCTGCAGCAGGCGGGTCGTTTTGCAGGTCTTTTTGCGATATTTCTCGGATTTAAAGTGCAACAAATGCAATTAATTAAATTTATTAATGTTTTAGTTTTTAAAAAGCATTTAAAAAGGAGTTTTGGGTCAAATCCCACGCAGCAGCAGCCCCAAGCCCATCTGCCCGAAAAGGGCTCAGCCGGGACACACTGCAGCAGCAGCAGCAGCAGCAGCAGCAGCTTTGCTGCTCTTCTTTGTTTTATTTTAAAGTTTTATATTTTGAATTCAAATATACCATTTAAAGCCCTTTTAGGGTTTGTGCTGCAGCAGATCCCGGCCTCGCGGCTGCTGCAGTCTTCTCCGTGTGTCTACAGCGCCTCCACACAAACCCTAAACCCTAAACCCTAAACCCTAAACCCTAGCAAGCCCGCCCCCGGTGTCTTCTCCCTGGCCCGCAACAATGACTCATGGGGGCTGAGGCCCCGCGCAGCCCTCCTACCCCCTGCTGCTGCCGCTGCTGCTGCTGCTGCTGCTGCTGCTGCTGCTGCTGCTGCTGCTGCCCACAGCCCCCAGCCATGCTGCAGCAGCTCCTTATTTCTTGCCAGCAATGACGGGCCAGCAGGGTCGGGGGGCCCCCCGAGTCGGGGGGCCCCCGGGGGCCCCCGGGGGCCCCCCCAGGGGGGCCCCCCTCTTGGGGGGCCCCCCAAGAGTTGCATTTAATCTTTTATATCTTCTTTTGTTGCATTTCATTTTCTTTTACTTTTGCCTCCCCGCAGAGGCCCGGCAGGGGCCCCCAATACCATTTGGGGGCCCCCTGGGGGGCCCCCCAGGGGGCCCCCCAAGGGGCCCCCACCCTGGGGCCCCTAAGAACCCTCTGGGGGCCCCCCGGGGGGCCCCCCGGGGGCCCCACTGTTCCCTTATCTCCTCTTTTCGTTCCTGCTGCTGTACCCCTGCCACGGGGGGCCCCCCCTCCGCCTGGGGGCCCCCCTGGCAGTACCCTCTTGGGCTCTGGGGGCCCCCCGGGGCCCCGGGGGCCCCCGAGGCCCAGGGGGCCCCCGGGGCCCCCAAGAGGGGCCCCCTTGCTTTCATGGGTTGCACAAAACCCGCCGAGAGGGTCTGGAGACCCTGGGGCCCCTTCAGGGGCCCCCAGGGCCCCAAGGGGGGCCCCCAGCCTCCCCCAGGGGGGCCCCTGGGGGCCCCTGGGGGGCCCCCTGGCTTGCTGACCCTCTGGGGGCCCCGGGGGCCCCGGGGGCCCCGCTTTCTGGCTAGTGCTGCTTTGGGTACCCTGAAGGCAGGGGGGCCCCCCGGGGGGCCCCCCGGGGGGCCCCCAGGGGGCCCCCTGAGTGTTGCGAGGGCAGTGGGGGCCCCCCTTCTTGCGTTGGGTTTGAGCCCGGGGCGGCTGCTGCTGCAGCAGCTGCTGCAGCAGGTGCAGCAGCTGCTGCAGCAGCAGCTGCAGCAGCTGCTGCGGGGCCCGGGAGCAGCAGCAAACCCGCAACTCAGCCAGGGGGGCCCCCCGGGGGCCCCCGGGGGCCCCCTGAATGCCGGGGGGCCCCCCAAGAGCTGCTGCAGCAGCCTGGGGGCCCGGGTTTGCACTGGAGTGCCTCTTGCTGCTGCTGCTGCTGCTGCTGTGCTGCTGGCGCCGCTGCCGCTGCTGCTGCTGCTGACTTTTGCGCAGTCTCTTCTGAGCCTCAAAGAGTTTTTGTCTCTCTGCAGCAAAGCCAGTCTTGCTGCTTCCTTTCCTGCTGCTGCTGCTGCTGCTGCTGCTGCCAGCGCCCTCGTCATGGCTGCTGCGGCCACGGGAGACGGAGACACCCACTTGCTCGTAAACCCTAAACCCTAAACCCTAAACCCTAAACCCTAGCCTGAAGCCTCCCTGCCCAAACCCTAAACCCTAGCCGCCTTGTTTGCCAAAAGCCCGTCGCCGCAAATCCCCCGTGCGTCTGACGCCCTTCTGCCCGCTGCTGCTGCCGCTGCTGCTGCTGCTGCTGCTGCTGCTGCTGCTGCTGCTGCTGCTGCTGCAGGCGGAGGGCGTGTGCGTGAGTTTGCTGCTGCTGGTGTCTCTGCTGTCTCCGCCCCCCCGCCGCAGCATCGCAGATGTGGGGGCCCTCATTTTGGGGCACATTTGGCTGTCCTTTTTGCCGTCCTTTTGGGTGCGTCTGGGGGCCCTCAGCAGCAGCAGCAGCAGCAGCAGCAGCAGCAGCAGCAGCAGCAGCAGCAGCAGCAGCAG